TAGATACTGATGCAGCTCTTGGGATTGTGGTCACTACAGGATTTTAGATACTCTACCAGCTCTGACAATGAATTCTGACATTATACTAGTGTTGTCAACCATGCCAGGTTCAAATACAATAGCAGCAACTGATATTTTGCTTGGTTACAATCTTCTTGTAACTTTAGATATGGCCTCTAGATTTACAGTATTCCTAGTAAACAATGATTGTGGTACATTCAAGTGCCTCTGCAAATATGGATACTATGTATATTGAGGGATACCTGTACTAGAGACTTATAGTGTTCCCAGGTATATGGGGTGCTACTAGTGGCTCGCTGAGTGTCATATAGCGGCTCCCTGGCGGTTCCTGGCGGCTCCTGGCGGCTCCTGGTGGCTCCCAGCAGCATCTTAGGGGTTCTCTACATATCTAGCGGCTCCCTGGCATCCTGACTTCATTCTGAACAAGTGGGCCCAGGCTGTTCATTGAATGGAATTTGCTACAACAAAGGGCATCTATTATTGTGAGAATAGTCATGTCCAATGAACATCGTTAAGATAGATTGGCGCTTTTTTGTGCTGGCAGCTCACTACTAGTACAGATTGATCAAGGGTAGATACGGATAATCGCCGCGGTGAAAGCCTGCGCATATGTACCAGACAATTTAATCAATTTACAGATCGAGAAACCAATACAAAATGCACTGGAAATTCTGCATTTACTGGTAGGTGGTCAGGGAGGAGGAGCAGATAGCTGGTACTGAATGGATACTGGATGGATTGCCTAGATTTCGGAACACAAGGTACATGTATGTACTGGGTATAGGATCCGGTACTCAGATTGGCCGTACCTATCATAGTGTGAGAAAGCGCCACAGTTCTTTGATCTTGCGCTTCCGCACCTTATTTGGGATGGCACTCTAGAACCAGGTGTTATATAGCTGTGCGACCTACTGCATATGTCCACTACAGCTCTGATACGCTTACTGTGTGCTCCGCTAAGTACCGGGGTGAGTGGTACTGGTACAGCATCTGCTCCCATTTTCTCTCTCAATCTCTGACACAGATGTGCATGTCATAGCTTCTATATTGTACAGACAGCCTAGGGGATTACTCAAACATGGCTCCTGTAGCTATATTAGTAGTTGAAACACTTCCAGCAGTGCATATAAGGTACACTACTGCTTAAACAGGGCCATCTTATTTCTTTTCCGCATTTTTGGTGATTTATACACATTTAAATTACAACATATACTATACATCATAAGAATCTCCCAAACGAGGCGAGAAATATGCTATAGTTTATGTGGTGGGAAGTGGGGGAGGTGGTGAGCTATGGGGTAGG